GAAAACAGAAACACCGGCTGGTTTTACTCCTGAGCTTTAATGAAAGCAAGCCCTTAACCACCATGTCTAAATCATTTCTTATTCAATAAGGCATCTCATTACTTTCCTCAGAAAGTGTTCTCACAGACTGATATGTACTTTGAAATTGTAATTGAAATGCTGTTTATGTGAAGATAGATTTAATCCCATGTTTTTATTTAATGATATATTTTAGTGTTTTGTTCAGTCAAGGTTTCACTACTTTAAAAGCTCTCAGTAAGCTCTGGGTGCACTAAGCAGTGAATGAATGAATGAGTGACTGACTGAATGAATGAATCCATCAATCAATGTTAATCAAGTTTTCTACACTGATGTACCTTAAAGTGTAGAGACCCTTTCCCTCACTTCTCTTGTCCCTCTCCCCCCATCATTTTGTATGTGGATCAATAGGCAGAGCTAGACACTGATGATGGCATGGTAGATGAAGTAGGAGAAGCTTTTTTCTCTGAATTTCACACCAGGAGGCAGCTGCAGCATGCAGCCTGTGCCCGGCAAAGCCACGTCATTTGTTGTCCCTGCATCTGAGCTAGCAGCCTACTCCTTGCACTGGTTAGCCCAGCTGGCACAGTGACCCATCTCAGAGTTTGCCATGACTAATGAAGTCCCCAGGTATTGTGTGGACTTGGTTAAGGTATCTGCCACCTTTCAAGGGAGGGGAGACCACCTAGCAATAGTTGGCTAGCATGTCCAGGAGTAAGCATTGGGATAGGTCTATGGCAGTCATCTGGAGGAGAGGTAGATGGTGTTCTGAAAGAAAGCAATACAAATTTTAGAAAAAAATAAAATATTGTTGAAGAAAGTGTGTAAAATGAACCAGAAGATACACCTTTCTTGGGAAGGATGAAATACTGAAATTGATAAAATGCAAGGTATGATACATTTTAAGTAAGACCAAACCACTGAGGTTTGGACTTCCCCAGACTTGGGCATTACACTTTGGAGGGATTCTTTATATTCTATATAAACGCTTGAGCAGATCTGTACTTCATTTTATTAACGTCACTGTGCACTTAATGAATAGAAGTAAAATAGTCTGATCTTTTTCTGAGGCATTGTCAACTATATATTTTCAATGTTCTGTACTTTTTCCACCTCATTAAATGAAACATTTTTAATATCCCTAATTGCTACTCAGAGGTGCTGTGCTGAGAAATGCAGACACATCATGATCCTTAACATATATCCATTTTTTAATACATTTTTAGTGATTGTTGCAAAACAAATACTCTTAGCTTTCAATAGAAAATTAACTAAAGCATATGCTTGTGTAACTATTTGTTAGTGGCACTTCAAGAAGTGTCTTAAATTCTATTGCATTATTTTGACAGGCTGTGATTTCTAAATTGAGTCTCTGGACAATAATAAAAAATCTTACTTAAATGTTTTATTTTCTTGCAACAAATGTGTAACAGAAGGTTGCAACAGATTTGTTAAATCTCAGTTTCCTAAAAACTCGCCCTTGCAATCTAAGTCTCTTGGATACACTTGTGTACTGCATCACTGGCAGAGCTGTTTGATTTTTAAGGGTGCATGGACATAATCTAGAGCTACAGAACTACTGGGGAGAATTTTGTTCTAGAACAAGTGCTGTTCAGGTATGTGGGCTCTGCCTTCCTTCCTGCTGTGATTTAAATCATGCAACATCAGTTAGACCTGACACTGAAGAACATGAAGAAGTCTGAGCTTTTATACTTCCTCCAGAGCACTGAGCCTTTCACACAACATTGATTCAGTCTTCCAACTGAGTATTTTCAAAGAATTAGGACTTTACATGCATGGCATGCACTTGACATATAGATAGGGTATGACAGGCTAATCAGTGATCTCTCATCTTTATAATATATGTGTATTTTGGAGCTTTTCCAATGGGAATGATAACAATAGGAGTACTCTGAAAACATAGGGACAATGACCTAAGGAATTAAATTATGTAAACATCAACACCTTATTTAATGTAAAATGTGTTGGATTAATATGCGTTCCATTAACAAAATGAAGTTAAAAGGATGCAGAAAATATGCAGATATGTCTTGGGTGTGTGTACTGTTAAGCAAGAGAGTAAGATGATGTGATGGTACTGTTCCCTTTGTGATTCCTTGTTACTGTATTGCCTGTATTTCTTTGCAGATGGATGATGACAGAATGGACTCCATGTTCAAGGACATGTGGAAAAGGGACCCAGAACAGACAAGTAGCATGTACACAGCAGCTCAGAAATGGGACCCTGATTAGAGCTAGGGAGAGGGATTGCCTTGGGCCTAAACCTACTTCTGCACAGCGCTGTGAAGGCCAGGATTGCATGACGGTGTGGGAGGCAGGAGTCTGGTCCGAGGTGCTGTATTTATTTATACAAATAGTCCACAGTGATTATTTATGCCTTACTATTTTCAGAGAATATGATTTTTTCAGTGGCAAGTGATTTTTGTGGTTCTCATGCAGTGATTTGGCAAAGGGATCAGGGACTGGGAAAACCAGCCATGCAGAACTATTACATTTTACCTAGTCAATGTCTTGGAGCTATCTCTTTTGGCTAGTTTTCAAGCACATATAATCAAGTATGTCCTGACTGTAATCATGGATAACTAGGTGTAAATGGAATTGAGGCCATCAGCTGCCAGGCTCAGAGTGGGAACATCTCTGACATACTTATGTACCAAGGGATGTTGATCAGAGGGTTGCTGTCATTCTGCTTCAGAGAGGCTATGAGGGGAGCAGCTTTCAAAGAAGGACATTTCCTTCCCTTCCTCTCTCTTTTCACCTCTTTTTCCAAGAACAGCACAAGCAGGGGGCAAAAGAGCTTGTGAATTACACAGTTTTACATATGTTGCATCCTGAAACATTACTGTTAAATGAAATTATTATTCAAAAAATGTATTAATTTAAGATCTTTTAATGTGCATGTCCATTTAGCTTTCTTCTTCTTTAAAAAATGTATACTACTAGACACAGTAAAGAAGGGACAAGCTGAAGGGAGCTTCCCTTCCACTGGAAAAGTAAATGCAATTCTGATTGCCTCCCACAGCAGAAGCTGTGCTATGGGTCCTTCCAGGTTCAAAATACAAATAGCAGCTTCTGAATATGGGTGCAGTCCCATCTTTGGGCTCCTCTGCTCAACAGTATCCCTTGATTCCTAAGCAAGAAAGAGCTGAGGCATAGGGAATGTTTTCAAAGATGAAAAGCAGAAGCTAAGTTAGAGATAAGAGAAGTAAATAGCATCAGTTCCTGGTTTGGTACACAGAGGTTTATAATGCAAGGGCTGTTTGTGAGAAGAATGGTATTCACTTACAGAGGTGTGAGAAAGAAACCCAGATTATTTAGCTAGGGTTTTTTATGTGAGAGATGAGAAATGTGAGCATATTTCTGTTGGAAGCAACAAATATATTTTGAAGAGTGAGGTGTCTATTCCATTCCATGGCCCATGGCCTTTCCTACCGTTATATTGGAAGCTAGCCATTACTGCTTCCTGCAGTTATAATCAGCTTGGCAAAGGATAGTTTAGATCTTCAAGCAGTGGGATAATCAAAAGCAGTGATAATGCTTTGAGAAGTAAATGGCATCATTTTTGGCAATGTAAGTGGGAATGTTGGAAGAACCATAGATTAAGACCTTCTGTGCCACTTGAGAGTTTTCACATGTGTATATATAATGAAAATTCATATATTTTCATATAAATATATATATATTTGAAAATTCAGTCTGGATTCTTGCATAGTTTTGGAATATTTACATTTCATTTTTTTTTTTCCTCCCAGAAAAGGTCTATTACACACTAGCAGAGTTTTTCTGAAGATGCTTCATATCTTATTTTTAAGAATATTATGTAGATGTTCTTTTATTCTGTTTCCTTTCATTCATATAACAAAGATTGCATAATATTTTCATTATAACATTTTGCATTCACTCCATCATAACTTTTACGGTGTTTTCATATCCAAAATCCTAAGTTTTCCTTAAGCAAATAGTTTTTGATCTATTTATGTATTTTTAGCTGAAAATGCAACAATTCTGACCCATGAGGAATTTTTGTTCATTTGTTAGTTTTCAACAAATCCAGTGTCTATGCAATTGGAGATTTGAAGTCAGGAAAACACTGAAGTCTTGAAATATTTATGTCAGCCTGACAGAAGAAGGCGATAAATGGGGTAACTGGCTTCTGTAGAAACCTGAAAAACATCTTTTTCCAACAGTGCTCTGTAAAGTGTGGTAAGGGAGTACGGCATCGGTCTGTGAGGTGCACCAATCCCCGCAAGAAATGTGTTTTGTCCACAAGACCTAAAGAAGCAGAGGACTGTGAGGACTATTCCAAGTGCTACATCTGGAGAATGGGAGACTGGTCTAAGGTGAGACATCCCTGATACTAGTGCCCCACAGCATAATACACTTGCAGTCTGAGTTCTTTGTAAGAATTGCTTTTATCAGAAGTGTAGGAGTCTCCCAGCTGAGGGAAAAATAAGGCTACAAAAAAACCCCGAACCAAACCAAACCAAACCAAAAAACCCCACAGTCAGACTGACAGCACAGTATAAATAAAAACCTAAAATATGAAGAAAGCATTAAATGAATCTTCAGTATCATGCAAATCTGCTATAAGCTTACTGTTGTCAGTAGACAAACAACTCTACAGACTGCAGCTCACTATAACCACACCGTTTGCACATTTCATTAATTTTTCTTTGCACATTTTATTTGTGTTTCCAATAAGCTACACACTCCAGCCTTTATAATCCTATTATATTTCCACACAGATCATTTAATACCTAGGAAGCATCTATTACTGTGTATTCTGAACACTTGATCTAGCTGTCACTACATTATTTCCTTGGCATACTGGTTTTGATTTCAGTGAGGTATATAAGCATAGACCAAAATTTAACAGAAAATATTGGGTGGATCTGTGATTAAGTGTGTTATTAGACTGAGACTTTGAACATCGGATACAGTATTGAATGTCCAAGCATGCTGAAATACTGAAATTGAACCTTGTCAAGGTTTTATCTTGCTTGTAATAGTTTTGGGGTTTTTTTCCTCTTGCTTCTCTTTATAACTTTGCACACAACACTTCTACTTTCAGTGCCTAACATTATTGCAGCAGTTTTCAACTGGCTTGTATGGAGAAGTATTTAATGTATTTTTAGTTGTCTTTCATGTGATTTAACAGCTGGAAACAAGGACTAAAGCCAGCAGTGTATGACTAGCCAGCCTTCCAAGAATTAGCTGCAAGTACTCTGTGGGCAACTAGTGTTTCATAGAATTCTGCTTGGGAGCTCCCATTTTATGACAATGGGGTACAAATTGTCACTATTGCTTCACTATTTATTCAATATTCTTTACTTTTTTTCCACATTCAAAGGATAAAGCATAGTGTCACATGATTTTTTCTTCATAAAGATGATCATTTAAAATATTTGGCAGTATTTTGGAACAGCCTCACAAAAAGTAGAAGATAACCCACCTACCTCAGTTACTTCGAAAACACGAAGTAATAGAACTGTTAATTTTTTAAACAACAGAAGCAACTAACCTTCAGTAGCAAGGTTACTTTTACAACAAGAAGATATTTGGTGATGAAGTCTAGTATTTTTATTTGCATACCACAATACTGCAGTAAGAACCTGCATCATTTAGCACTAGCACCAGCAGGGAGTAGACTATGGGGAGAACTGACCATCTGCTTTCTTAGTTGAAGCAGTCATTGAAATTGGGGTTGCTGAGGCTATGTAGGGATACTCAGACAGTTACACTGTGTTCCCAATGCTCTCTGGAGAAAAGCTTTATTCTCTAATCCAGTACTTTTCACAAACATCCATGTCATAGATGAATGTACAAGAATTTACTTCTTCCTGTTTAAAATTTATTGATATCTTGTATGTTCTCCTTTCCTCCTACAGCCAAAGCTGTAACACTGTAACCTAAACTGTACCTTGAACTTCAGAATTAGGAGATGAGGAAGTATTTCATATGGAATTGACAAAAACTTTTGAACAGTTAACATATAGCCTGACTGTGACTTCTGCAGCTGAGGTTTTCCAAGATTTATACCAAAAAAATAAATACTTTAATTTCTCTGCAGAAACATAAGTTCAATTTAAAATATATTTGGATTTCCTTTTTTTTTTTTCCCTGTTACTATTCTGTTCCATTACTCCAGTACATAGCAACATGAAGTCATGGCATACATGTTAATATGTCTGCGATGGGGGAAACAAATGGAAAGCTCAGATAAATGTTAATCTTTGCTCACTGTTTTTAACTCAAAGGTTCAGTGCAGCTTTCTGTGTTGACTGTTTTTACTCTTTAGGATTGTTCTTGACATTGGCAAAGGCTGTTCTTTTGAGCAGAGCCAAATTCCCCCAAGTTAATGCAAGACTTGGCTTGAAAATTTTAAATTACGTTTCTCACACATTGAAACAAGAGGCTTAATGTGATCCTTACTGGCTTTCCTGCTTCTCTTGAACTCCTAAGGCATATTTTTTAAATTAAGCTTAAATTGCACTATTACTGAAAAGATAACATTATTAGTAGCCAACACAGAGATCAAATAATTCTTCTGCTCAATGTTTTAACAATAATACTAACATCAAAGAATACTTGACCAAAATTGTGAGATTCAAACACATCAATCCTTCTAAAACACTAACTTAATTTAAAATTATGCTGTATAACCTGGCCTGTATGCAGTGTTAAACTCCATCATAACTCTGAAGTCAGCAAGGTGGCTTAATACACCACACGCAGATGTTCTTAACATCACCTGGCCTCTGTGCCTGCCCTCATGAGGAAAATGAGTATGATGAGAAAGTGGAGAGTAAAGGCTCAAACTGAGCTTTGAAAGCCAGCACCTAACTACATTACCAATTCCACTGTCTTTTCCCTGTGAATACCATCATTGGAGTATCATACTTAACAATGTAAAAGCTACCTTCAGGTGGGGAAAGCTCAGAGCTCATAGCTACTCGAGCAATGGTTAGAGCGAGGCATAGCTCAGGTTTAGCAGCAGCAGTGTCCTTTACTAAGCTGCCCAGTGCTTCCCATTTCAAGGTGATATGTTGAGAGGGTCATGCTCAGAGGAGTTCGTCATCTAAGGATAAACAAGTAGGCAGTGAAGAGATGAAATTAAATCTATATGAGCTGCATGTTTACACCTCTACTTGGCTGATTAGAGAAGTTCACATCATTGTAGAAATCATTCTCCAAAAAAGACTCAAAGGTCAACCACATAGGGTTGTTGAAGGGTAGGTCTAGGGTATTTACTTCATCTAGGAAACTTAATTTATTTTTCTATCTGGAATCTCCAGAACAATGGTGGAATAAACAAAGCATGGGAGGCAGGGTGAATTTTGGAAGGGAGAATATTGGGAAAGTGCGTTTTGAAAATAATAATTAAAAGTTTAAGTTTTATATGATATTATATCAGAAAGTTTTTGAGAGATTCAGCAGGGAATAACAGGATCAAACACTGGCCAACAGAGTAGAATTTAGGAGTAGCCATTTGTAAGATGAAGAAATACATAGTATGTATGGGAGACCAGAGTAGATAATATGGTATAAGCTCTAAAAGGGCATTTGGCTATAGAAGCTAGAAAGAGGACGCATTCAGTAGAAACTTAAGCAGCACCAGCAGAATTTCTAAATAGTATCTATGTGTTAGACTAGAGATTCAGAGGAGTCAAATACGACATCTGGGATAATGATCCCAACAGTTGGGATAGAGTTCACTTTGTCTATACCCTAAAGATGCCAAAATGGGGAACAAAGGTTAACCTGAATTTTTTTTTCCAGTGAGTCTGAAAGGACATCCAAAGCAACTACTTGGATTTTACACCCATGAGTCCAATTCATGACCTATTGCAAATTATTTATTTAAGACAGTACATGCAGTGCTGACTAGAAAGTGTGTGTGTTTGTGTGTACTGGGGGGAAGACAAATTTCCAGCTGTTGAGGAGGGACAGTGAACCCAACAGCTCACAGGGAAATCTCCTAATTGAGTGGTACAAAAAGCAGCTGTCAGTGCTGTGGATTGCTTCTCTTCTGACCCAGTAAAAGAGGATAGGAAAATGGAGACAGGAAAAAAGAATTTTTTTTTTCCCCCCACTTATTCAACAGCATGGGGCATTCAACTTTTAAATTGTTAGCTTTTTTACCAGGAACAGAACACTGTTGGCCATGAGTCAAAACATGACACTATTAATAATTTATGGAAAAAGAAATTATGTGACTTTTGTAAAATAATAGAAGTCAAAATAACACTGGCCTCATGTTAATAACTTATCTATTGACTTAATTATACAGTTTCCAGTAAATGAGGAATGTCTTTGTTTCAGAAATTAAGTATAAGCAAATAATGTGGGAGATGTCAATATAATGAAATTAAATTGGAGGGGGTTTTTGTATATTTCTAACCAATCCAGTGATACTAACATCATATGTTTCGGATAAAGTATTTTTTATACATCCATGTAGTGTAGTATTTTGCCCATAATAAATGTAATGTCATGTTAGTTTCTATAAAAACAGAACAAGGCCACCTTTAATAATAGACAGAAGCAGTGAAAAGACTGGAAATAATTTTAAAAGTACACATTGCCCATTTTAAACCCACAAAAAAACCACACATTAATGGGAGATTCTGGTATCTGTATCACACTTAGACCAACTGGGACATCTTTGCTGGTTTCCTGCTACAAGCCTTTAAGCTTTTAAGCAAAGTTTTTGCGAATGCCAAACTGGAATCAAAAGGTAGGTATGGACACATGTTCTATGGTCTGTTTAATTACATTATCTCTAAGTGGTGGTATATTAGAAAAAAGTAAATTGCGGTACATCAATACTTCCCATCAGGACTGAGCCTTGCTCTGACCCATGGAAAAACTAAGCAAGAACAAAAAATAT